ACTAAAACTTCATAAATTATTCAAATAGTATCCACAGTATGTTGATTAAAAACCTTAATACATTAAATGATATATGAATTATTATTCTAAAAAAATTAAATTTAAAATATAAAAAAATAAAAACTTAAAAATAATATGTCATCGTAATAAGTTAGAGTATTTTTTATACTCTAAATTTATCTTTAATAAAATATTAGTATTTAATAAAAAAATGATATGTCATTTTTTATATTGAAGGAATAGAATGATTCTCTAAATTCTCTTTCATATTTAAATTCTATTTTTATTTCTCTCAAAAAAACATTAAAAGGATGGAATCTATTTATTGTTCATTAAAAAAATTTTAATTCATCATCATTTGTTAGAAATTCACTGTCTTTATATATATATATATATATAGTTTTAAAATCCTTTTTATGAAGAAAAGTGATTTTTATAAGGAGAATCATTTTTTGGAGATGTTTGGGTGTAGGGAATTAGAGTGGATGAATCATAAGGATCTTGAGGAGTGTTGAGATTGAAGGAGAAGGAGGGGTGTTGTGGAAGAACAGTTTGCATTGTACTACCAAATGAGACTAGGAGTGTGTGAGAAGGGGTGGAGGTTTGGGTGTGGACACAGCTAAACGGAAAAAATCTCAAGTAAAATTTAACAGTTACATTGGTCATGTACAAATGTTACTAACATTTTTTCTTTAAAACCTTTTTGGATAATCATGGAGTGTCAGCGCTATGAGAGATATTCTAGAGGCATGAGAGCATTGAGGATTTATTTATTATGAAGAAATAAGACAAGGATGGACGCATATTCGAGTTTGTGCAGTTTGCAAAGCTCAGGGATGTCTATGACATGGAAAAGAGACTTAGTTTCATACGATAGGCAACATGCAGATGACAATATAGCAGAGCTAGCAATAAACAGAAAATCACAAGACAAACTCAGGATGTTGTGTGTGAAAAGGTGCCGAAACTATTGACCAGTGTTGGGACCAAGGTGGAATGGAGAGGTAATGTTGGTGGGCAAAGCTATGATGAAGGGAAAGGGTGCTATTGGAGGGCCAGACGAAAATGCGGTGTGGGTATCTAAGAAAAAACAATGGTGTCATAGTGAGTTCCATATTGATCAGGATACAGTTGAGAGGTGCTGCAAGGTGATGGTGGCAAGCTTACACCGACCAAAATAGCTCAATAATGTTGCTAACTTCCTTTTATAGGAATCATACTGAATGTTAAGGCCATTACTATTGGTGACAATATGGTTCAGTTGGAATTGAATGGTCCAAAGGATCTGGGGGAGGTTATAGCTAGGTATAAAAATGGCATGTCTAAGCTATTTTACGCCGTTGATTGGTGACATCCTCGTATGGTGGCTGCTATAGGGAAACATGGGTTTGTTTGTACGGCGTGTCATATCATGCTTGATCAGAGACGTTTTTTTTTAAAGATGGTGTTACTGTTAGGAGATTTTTGTGTGCATGGACGGTAATATGACTTCCCGAAGACGTATGAATTTTTCAAGAGTTCACCTACGAAATCAAACACATGTGTTGATTAATGAAGATTTAAGGATTCATGTTAATGATCTTGTGTTCTCAATCCGGATGGTTGAGGAACATAGGAAAGAATTCTTTTAAGGAAGGTGGTGGTATCATGATTCAAATACTTCATCGTTGAAGAGTTATGATGACGCTTCATTGGATTTGGACGGTTTGGAAGATGAAAGTTTAGATGATGGTGAGAAAGACTGTGATCTAACGATAGGAAGCACAAAAAAAAAACAAGAAAAAAGAGAGACCAAAGATGGTGTGGAAAGCATGGAGGAGTGGGAATAGGGGGTGAATTATTGGGACAAAATTTACATGATTCCGTGCTAGATATTGCATAATATTAGGAGGAGTTTGAAGGTACGAAGTCAAATTCCATGGAGAACGTAGCAGATGCGTGAATGAAAGAGAAATCAAATTATGAAGTGAATATCAATAATGCTTTGATTTTTAATAATAATGTAGATGATGTGCGATTGGGTGATGATGCGTAAGGAGACTGATTGAGGTGAGCCTTTGTTGATCGAAACTTATGAAGAAGGGAATTGGTGGGACATGGAAGCTGATAAAGAATTATGGCAATTGAGTGTTATTGATACAGATCAACAGGAAGCAAGAATTTGGCACAAAAAGAGTTTATTGGTGAATCTGATGGCCTAATTATTAGGGCTTCTCATGAGTCTGACGAGACTAATCACGTATTGAGTCAAGGACTAAATTTCTTTCACTTCAATGTTATTGTTAAGGATATTGCATAATATCAGGAGGAGTTTGAAAGTATGAAATCAAATTCCATGGAAAACGTAACAGATGCGTGAATGAAAGAGAAATCAAATTATGAAGTGAATATCAATAATGCTTTAATTTTTAATAATAATGTAGATGTTGTGCGATTGGGTGATGATGCATAAGGAGACTGATTGAGGTGAGCCTTTGTTGATCAAAACTTATGAAGAAGAGAATTGGTGGGATATGGAAGCTGATAAAGAATTATAGCAACTGAGTGTTATTGATAGAATCAACAGGAGGCAAGAATGTGCCACAAAAAGAGTTTATTGGTGAATCTGATGGCTTAGTTATTAGGACTTCTCATGAATCAGACGAGACTAATTACGTATTGAGTCAATAACTAAATTTTTTTCACTTCAATGTTATTGTTGAGGTTGTAGAAAAGAATTAATCTTAAGACATGTACTTTAGAAAGAATTAAAAATGGGAATTGACTTTGTTTGACAATTTATGAAAATAATTTTTTTAAAAATAAGTAAATAAATAAAAAAATTGGATTCGTTTGACAATTTATGAAAATAGTTTATTATTCCTATAATTTTATTAGTTTATTTCTTACTAAAACTATTAGAATAAGTTATTTTTAATTTATTTTAATAAATTTTATTGTTAAATTGAAGATAAAAATTATCATTTAAAATAGCAGTGAGCGTTTGATTATATTTTATATCAAAACACACCCTTAATAAGTTACTTCTCTAATTTCTTCTAGTGTTTTATCTTTAAAAGGTTTAAATAATTTTTTTGTTTCTTAAAAATTTATAAACTTTTATTTGGTTTCTATTTTTATTTTTCCAAATGATTATTTATTTATTTATTTTATCTAAATATCATATATTTTTCATTAACTTTCTTATTTTAAGGAAACCAAATAAAAAAACTTGTAATATTTAGAGGAATTTTATTTTTTTTGGAATATTTAAAAAAATTCAATAAAATAAATTGTATCATGAAAGACTTATTTAAATTGAAGATAAAAATTACCATTTAAAATAGCAGTGAGCGTTTAATTAATATATCAAACCACACCCTTAATAAGTTATTAATTAAAATTTATCCTTAAAAGAGTGCCACTTAACTTGAAAATATGGATAACGTGAACTCACTCCATCAAAAGTTCAGATAAAAAAAGGATCAATTCATCCTGCTCCTATTTTTAAAAGTACGTTAGAAATCGTAGCTTAATACGTTTATCGGTAAGTAAGTTCACTAAAATTATTATAAAAAAATTTAAAATAATTAAACTTATAAAAATCATTTTTATATTAATAAAAATAGTATTTAACTAATAAATAATTAATTTAAAAAATTAAAAAGGTGAATTTGACAGGTGTAAAACTCTCAATTTAACCTACTATTTTTTGTGGGTTATATAGATTCGCCTATTTAGCCTAATCCACTTTCCCAACCCTCACTTGAATTCTTTACCACTGTCACTGAAATTTTTTTACCACCAACATAGCCATTATCACTGCCTAACATTTTCCTGTAAGGGTGAAAATAGGCTATGTCACCCTTCTAGAGCCTATGGCCTAACTCATTTATAACCTAACCTATCCCAGTTTATTTAATTAAAAAATTAAAGCAAGTCATTTATAGAAGCCTTATAGTTAAATAGAGTTAGCATACTTTTTAAAATAAGTAAATTTAAAGATAAACTTATTGGAATATTAAATAATGAGCATCATATCCAACACTAAATACAATACTTTAAAAAAAAAACAAAACTTTTTGCACGCAAGCATTTAAAAAATATACACCCAAATAAAAAGAATTTTTTTTTGTTCTCATCTTTGTTCAAACAATATTCAAATACTTTAAAAATGAACTACACACACAATAATATATAATGAAATAAAAGGCAGGAGTTTGGCCCCGTGGTGCAAATTTAGAGATGGTTGATATAATACTAATAATAATAAAAGTTTTTTTTATACAACAGATACACCTATGTTTTTCATATTATAATTACCTTATGTCATTCTTTTATTTTAAACTTTAATTTCATTTTAAAATTTTTAACTAAGAATAAATTTAGTGAATAGTATGATTAAAATTTAGCAATTATTATACAGAGTAAAGAGATATTTAAAAACAATATATTTTTTGAAGGAAGCATTAATATTTTTATAAAATAGTATTTAAATTAAATTCAATGTTGATACATTCCTAGAACATATTGTATTAACATTTTTTAAAATATTTAAAATATATCAAATGTATATTCAACATTTGCAGAGAATAAAAATCTCAAAAAATATGATTCCCAAAAAACATAATTTTTAAGATCTGAAAAAGATTTTATAACCCAAACACTTTAAAGTAATCATCGATGGCAGTTTATTTCCAAAAGAATTTAAAAGGGGACCACAATGCTTTCTTGCTGTAAATTCTAAATAGCAATATAGTATACATCGAACGCTTTCATGTTAATCTCAAACGAACAAGCCAACTTATTATGGTTTCGAGTAATTAAAAGAAAAGAGATTCACTTGAAATGCTTTGAGCTGAGAATAAATGAAACCAGATAAATATTATTTACAGCAACATTGTTCAATTACATGACAAATTAGACATGCAAAAGACGCCAACCCTGTATAGATAATTGCAACTATTGCTTATACCCCATTCCTTTCCCTTTATTTATTTATTTATTTATCTTTTTTCGGTCTAATACCTCATTATTTTAAATAGAAGACCTCGTCGAAGAATCGCTCCCTGGCATCTTTAGATTACTTGATTCTTTCAACAAATCAAAAGATGTGAACGAATGAGGTGGGATAGTGACATTCATGTCCTTCCCAACATTTTGAAGTAGACTCTGGATTGGCACCACCTGTATTCATAGTAAAAAATAACAAAAGCATAAGCTAATTTGATATGGTTCCTCAACAAAATTTACTTTCGTGTTGTGAAAGGTGTTTAAGGTCACTGAAACAGAGAAACAAAAAAGGCAAAACTTTGAAATGATTTCCTAGTAACTGTGGTTCATGCAAGGATTTTGAAAATTAGTATAATCCACAGAACCATATTGAGAAGTGCATATTAAAAATTAGCTCAAATATAAATTAAAAGCTTGGAAAGAGTGAAGCTTGAGATACCTTCTTTGGCTGTGAGAAGGAATTCTCGTCCATTACATTTGAAGATGTAAGCACAGTCTTTGTTGACCCAGACAACTGCAATGAGTTTGGTTCCAGTCCATCAAAAGAAATCTTGAGGTTCACAGTGTTGACACCAAAGTTCACAACCTGAAAAAGTCAATTGCTTCAGACTGAGTGATGACAGTGCTAGCAAAAGCATCAAGAAGGCAACTAAGAACGCCACCCATAGGACCCAATGCTGCAAATTACACTTAAAAAAGGGAAAATTCAATCAACCATAGTCATATTTTTCACTTCAGAATTTTGAAGAACAGGGAAAACAAAATGTGTCTCAAGAAATTAATTTATTCATGCTAAATGTGATGAGAAGCTATATCCTACACTTCAATTCTTAGGTTTAAATTTGGATTCTTTATATTAATTTCCAGTTGAATAATAATTTTGATGACGATTTTTATGCTTAATTTTACACAACACCAAAAAAGCATAATGGTTTACACTTAAGTTTTATGCAAAGTTGTCCCCATTACCTTTATTCGTATGTAATTATTCTTATCTACAGAATTTTGCCAACTAATTGCTGATGCAACAAGTGAATTTGAGGAAGTTGCTTGAAGTGATGTATTTAGAAGTGTTGCTCCACTTGACTCCGAGAAAAATAGCTGCACCCAATAGCTAGGAGTTCCGTAGAGCTGAAAGGAATTGAATACAATAGCATCTGGGTTCCACCTAAGGACAGAAATTTAACACAATCTTAGTTTGGACATCATCAAGGAACAATAATACCTAATTTGTTAACCACCTTAGCAGTTGAAATGAAAAATTCTAGTGATATTTAGAGTACTGAAATCCTCAAAAGACACTTTTTTTCTAAATTTCTTTTTTAAACTTATGCGGAACAAAAAGGTCACAGTTTGTTCTTCAAGCAATTGTTTAGCAGAACATTAAATAGTTAATAATCTACACCATCCTATAGCTAATAGTTATCTATTTAGAATTTAGTAAATTTACTTCTGGCTTAATGGAAGGCTGAACGTAAAATAAAGGGTCTAAACCCAGCCATCTGAATGAAATTGAAAGACATTAGGTGTGAGCAGTTCATTATGGTCTTTGTTTTCACAAGTACAACCACGCCTCCTCGCAGAAATCAACAAATTACTTGTCTACATTCCGATGGAGCCATTCAATAAAACTTTTACTTAGAATTCAGAACAGAGCATAGTCCATAATCTAACAGGCTAACAGCTAGACCAAAAAGCAAAGAAGAATAGATAGCAGAAACTTTCTGATAAAATCATTATACCTCCGATCATTGGCATTTACGAAAAGTGGAGCATAGCTAACCATTTTGACAACATCACTGCACCAAAAAGAGAAAATAAAAATGGTGAGTACAAACTATTAAGTGAACTAGAATAAGATAAAAGCATTGAGGACACACGGAAATGAATTAAATAAAAAAAGGGGTGAATGAGGGCAAGAGGCTCTCGCCTAGTGGGGGTCTGGGAAGGGTAGATGTCCGTAACCTTATCTGTGCAAACGGAAGGCTATTTGGAGGATTTAAACTCATGACTCCAAGTCACAAGGAAGTAACCTTATCATTGGGCCAACTTCCAAGGCTTGCCTCATGGAAATAAATTGATTTGCAAGATTTACACACTAGCTCAAATAATTGACAGCACTAGAGTAAGATCCTTTGAATTAAAAAAATGCCTGTAAAACTTGAAGTGAATCTTGTGTAACAGATAAGTCAAGCTTGCTTGACAACATTCATGACAGACCTGATTTACTTAAGTTCATATGTAGCCTGTTGGGACTTGTTTTTGGCCTTGCCCAAAGCTCAGTTAGAAGGGTAACTTCCCCATAAATTATAAAAAAATCTGTTGCATATGTTTGCATTTTTGGTTTGGGGAACAGTACAAAATTCCAAACCTGGCCCTGTGTAAAATATTTAATGAAAATTTCATAGGCCCCAGTAAACCTGTTCTTTTCCAGTCCAATAAGGAAACCAGCTTCAGCTAGGGCTGCCAAAAGGCTTCCCGTTCCAGCATCTTTCCCAGTCACAGCATACTCACTTACAAAAGCCTGCAAAGTATTTGAACAGGTTGAGCACAAATGTAATGCCAATAACCAATAAAACAAAAAGGTGTTGACAGAGATCATAAAACCTTTGGACCGCTTCGTGATGCACGATCAAATGTGTTAGCCCTAGAAAACATGTCATTTGCACTTGTATAAACCTAATTATAGAAACAGAGTATGAGAAAGATACTACTAGTGGACCAATTTCATACACACACAAATGAAGTGAAAAACAAAACCCCATTGAGATTTGTAATAAAAGAAATAGTGTTGAAGACATTACATGATAATCATATATATCAGCTGGATGATCTAAAGGTCGAGAAGACCCATCACAATTTGAGATAATTTGGATATCTGGATAAGCACTTCTTATGGCACTATAGAATTTCAGGTAGTTTCCTGGTCAATCAAAGATTAAACAGAAGATATATGAATTTCAGAACTTTTTGTTAGAAATCTGCATGTAACACATTAATAATAAATCCATAATAGATTCCAAAGTGTTAGTGCATGTCAACAAAGAGCATTTTACATTTTCTTAGGCTGGAATAAATAAGAAAAATATGCATACCTCGATAATTCTTTTTTCCACAATCTTCATTTCCAACGGCAACATATTTTAGGTCAAATGGCTCTGGGTGTCCCATGGCAGCTCTAAGGGAACCCCATTTTGAAGTTGAATCACCTCTTGCAAACTCAATTCCATCAAGGGCTTCCTACAATCAAGATATCAAGATCTTTCTATAAATTCTTAAGTTAACTTTCTTTAACAAAGAAGGAAAAACTGAAAAATAAGAGGAAAAACAGGGAAAAACAAGTGAGATAGCATACTTGCACCAAAGGTAAGACAGCAGATGTATCAACTTGATCATTATGGCTGACACCTAAAATGAAATATTGAATTAGAAAGCAAGACAATTTTACCAATTCACCCTGTAGTAAGAAGCTTAGTTAACAGAGATAAACATAAAATTACCATTATTAAATACCCATATTGGTGCTGCATCCAAGTCCTCTGCTAGCTGCTCAACAATAATATGTATCATTTCACTTTCATATCACAAACTGAAAGCAATTCAACTAGATTTGAAAATCACAATCCTCAGAACCAACATATAAAACGAGACACTTACTTGGAGAAACTCAAAATAGCCAAGTCCATCATCAGTCCAGTACATCCAAACATCACCAAAGTGCCCAGGTCTCTCCTCCCATGGTCCAACAGATGCTTTCCAACGAAATGCATTTCTTAACCATTCTCCTTCAACAAAACAACCACCTAGTTCCATGTAATGAAAAATAGCATTTCCAGATGTTAGCTGAATTATATCCAAGCTAGAAGAGTGAACTAGAGTATGCCAGGTCAGAAAATGTTTATCTTCTAGTGCCATCTAACAAAATTTCCACTTAATTTTTTCTTCTGTAGAAGAAAAGAATATGATCCTTTATCATACATACTAGAGAGAAATTGAGAAAAGTTCCATCTATTTGAGCAATAAAGTTGATTGCTATTTGGACAGTTATTTTGAAACAGCCGGATAAACGCAAATAATTAGGATATTAATAATTCGAATTCTTAACAGTTCAACAAATAAATAACTGAGAGAAATATGACAAATCACAAATCCAGACAGCATAGAAAGCCGGAGCTAACTTATAATCTCCTGTAAGACTGATAATATGCTTACAACTTATCACAAAGGGCATAAGTAATTTTGGAGTCTGGAGCCATGCAAAGTGCCAACTTGAACATAACAAAAAAGCAAGTACCAAAGAAAACAGGAAAAGCTATGTTCAGATACAAACAAGTCCATAATTTCTTAGCTCAAACAGCTCACTAAGGATTTACTAGGTATAGCTGAAAGTGAAACATAATACACCAGTTGATGTTCAGATGCAAATTATTTTACACTTTGAATTGACACAGGAAAATAAATAAAGCTGAATAGTTTGAAATAGATTAACCTCTTTATTGTACACACTCTAACAAGTATTTATCAGTTATTATATCCTGTTTTTCACTATCATCTGTCTTTTCCACCCTTTCAATTAACCACACCATCCTTTCAAGTCTAGACATTTTGGAGATGCAAGATAGGAGCACATAACACAGGACAAAAGCAATATAAAAGATATATAAGAAAAATGTTGTTTGTTAATCTGAACCACTATATGCATACCCGGAAATCTGATAAATCTTGGCCTCAAAGCTGCCAGCATTTCAACCAGTTCGCTTCGGAAACCATGTCCCTGCAACAGGTCAAGGTTGATGATGTTACTGATAGGGATGGGGGAGGACAAGCAGTATTACCAATAGTGACGTCACATAGGCAATGACTGTATAGGGTAAATGAAGCAAAGTTCCATCATTGAAGTACTGATTCAATATCAATTGTTTTCATCGTAAAATATTTTCTTTCTAAAGAATAGCTATCTCTTTTATTAGGAAGGAATAATTTACATAAACTGATAAGATTTTAAGTCTTTGTAAACATCATTTTGATAATGTTCATACCATGCACATCCAATGGCAATCACAGCACCTTATGAAGAGAAATATAAGGTATGTTTAAGAATGATGTATAAATAAAAAGTAGAGAGAGAAGAAACAGATAAGAATGAAGAACTTGATTCCTTAACAAGCAATTTTTAAGAGAAAACCTAATTTCCCCTCCCTCCTCTTACCACCACAACTACTTATGAATAAACAAGGTTAATTTTACTATCATCAAGACACATTAACATCGATAATCACAAGAGTAATAGTTACATAAAATTAATGCGCTATACAAATATCAAAATCAAGCTTTGACACCTATAACAACCTAATTGGCCATAAAAGGTTAGGGGGTTCAAATTAAAACAATTTAAGGCAGCCCATTATCATTAAAAAGGTTCCCATTATCATTAAAAAGGTTCCCATCATCATGGAGGTAGGTGGAGGACTAGATACACCCAACCTTACTCCTGTGGAGATAGAGTAGCACATGTAAAAGTAAATCCTTCTTTTATAATAAACAACAGTCCAAAGGAGAAAGTAAAGTAACTCCCTCCATTCAAACATGTGAATAAAAAGAGAATTAATTTCTGGATGTAACACAACCTTATATGTGTCCATTGGCATAGCAGACACTTGGTCCAACCATATCACACCTTTGGTAGTTGTTGTTAATTGAAGTCTTGAATTGTGATTTGTTGCCTTGGCCTCCAATAAAGTCTCCACCTTGGTCCAGTTTGAAAAATCAGAAGCAGAACCCCTGCATGATCAGTAATTAGTATTATTTACAGATGCAAAAGATAATTTCTGGGATAAAACGGTTGCACATTAGTCCCCATAGCACATAAAATTGGAGCTCACGTGATCACAGTTGAAGCTAAGTTTCCCACACCATTTGATCCAGTCAATAAAATTGTTAGATTAAGTGGTCCAGTTGAACGAACATAGAAGATCACTTTGTATTGCTTCCCTTGCTCAATATTCTGAAAGAAGAATAAAGTAGTAAATATATTACTTGAAGTCTCAGCAGTGAAGAAATTGAAAAGAATAATCTCAGAATGAAGTAATCAAAGAAGGATAAACAAAATTTATAGCCCAGAAATTGAAACTAAATAACATCATAGACTTTAAGTCTATAATTAATGTTATTCAAATTTTGTTTTTCATTCAGGAAATATATGCATATAGGATTTGTGACCTAATTGATGAAAGGGTGTCAATCAGTCTCACCATGCCCCAAAAACCAGGGTTGTACACACCAACACCATCAGCTGGGCAAATCTTGTCACCATTGCTGTCACATAACACCTCCAAACGAAGTGCAACCTTATTACGGTCAAAGCAAGAGGTACGATCAGTTTCGACATTTATAGTTGATTCATTTCCAATAATTGACCACGGATCAATATTTGAAGGAGTGTTAGGGCCCCCAGCTTCAAATCCTGAAACAAGATAAACAAGAATTCATGATTTTTCATTTATACTTTAAAACAGTGACCTCCATATAATGAAACAAGGTAAACAATAAACCATTCATTTTTTCACATTTGAACTTTGATAAAGTAGGATAATCCGTCATATCTAAAGCAGAATCTCCTTAGCAAAGCGACAAAAAGACACCTCAGGCCTCTCCTTTTCATCAAACATTAGAAGAACAAAGAGAAGAAGCACAAGAGAACCAAAATAAAATAAAATAAAATCAACAGAAAGCTGATCGTGGAGTGGCTAAAATGCTCAATTATTATTTCATATTTATTAACAGGTTGTTAAAAAAAACACAAAATTACTTGAATATCAGTGAAATAACTATCAGAATGTTTTGATGGACACCATAACTAAGAAAAGAAAAAGCACAAACCCTAACAAGTGCATGTCTTCAATTTAGAAAAAGAAGCTCTAAAGTGAGCAAGCAAGGGTGTACCTTTAAAGTTTAATCGGTAACAATCACAATGCACTTTAAATAAAGGGTGGCTGTACCCTTACTTGTTCACTTTTTTATCTCATTAATTCTATGTTCATCTCTTCTGTTCTGATTTTCTTTTTCTGTTATTATCATGTTTCCTATCAAGTACAACAGATTGCAGGAATGTTGCATTTGTGCCTCTGAACATGTAAGTTGCAGTTGAAAAAAATTGGAGCACACACACACACACAACAGAAAAGAAATATTATGGAATAACCTCAGTGCTAGGTTTTTCATTTAAAAGTTTAGAGAATACGAAAATGACCTCTGTTGCTCACAAGCTCAGCCCACAATCCCCCAGTTCCAGCATGATTGATCTCCTGTAGATGAATTTCAAGAAATTGGTCATCTTCTAACATTTGAATGTGAGGCATCACCAAATTGAACATAAACATGCAGACTCAAATTTAAAGGTTTGTTTACATAATCCTAAGTTCTATGCAGTTAATTCAATAACTAATAACATTGATACAATACATTATTTCATATTTTATCTTCATACTTATCTTTTGTATAACCTTTGGATGGCACACATTTTATTCTAGTCCATTTAAAAGAAAACTCCAACAATGCATCAGAAATAGCAATCAGGAATCAGAAGTAAAAGTAATTAGAAAAGGGGACACTCTAATAATACACCACAAATAACAAGGATCAATTGCTAGATGCAGGCTCATCCTCACCTCAAAGAATATGCCAAAAAGTGTCTCCGGTATTAGCCTTCCAGATGTATCAGAAGCATCTACGACTAGAGTTGCGTTCAGGTCAGCATGTACTTCAGCAGCAAAGCATTGGAAGACAAGGCAAACCACTATGAACAATTGGAGCAGAGAAACACTGCATGAGGCATTGGATGAACCCATTGTTTGTCACAACATTCAATCTACCTGCAGTCTGAACAACATAAGGTAACGGAAATTAACATGAATACGAAGATTATATAGATGAAAAAGGAAATAAAAAGTTAAAACAAAAGAACATGCATTTCATGTATTCAGAGATGGACAAAAAGTAAACATATGCAACAAAGAATCATCCAACACCTAATGCGTCACCACCGCTTGATCCTACAATATGCCAATAAACACCAACTCTTTTTTCACCTTCTTCTCTTTACCTTCGGTGTATAAATACAAAACTAAGTCACAAGATAGGTGCAGCTACCACTTATCTAAAAATCTCAGTTAGTTGGAGAAAAAAGAAAGTTCTTAAATAATGCATAGACTAATTCATCACATAGAACACATAAAAAATGAAACATGGATTTAATAATATACAGTTGGTAACAAGCACTGCGCTTGAATTTAAGATCTTGAAATGCATTTGAATGCAATCATTATTATGATCCAAGACACATATTGTGAATTCAAATAATGTTCAAAACATTCAAATAAACGAATTTAAATTATTGCGGGCAGTTACACCCACGCCATGTTACATAATAATAATAATAATAATAATAATAATAAAGTTCAAACGTTTGAAAACTAAAAAACTCACGGGTATGAATATTATGTTTGAGAGAGAGATAGAAGAAGAACTGAGAAGGGTAAAGTGGGAAATAATGAGTTAAAAAGGGTGTGGGTGTTCTGAATCTCTGAGTGTGTCTCTTATCTTTATAGAGTAAAATTGGGTTGGAGTTGTGTGAGTGAAGCAAAGGGAGGCAAGTAGATGATAGATTCTGTGTGTTGTCTTTCTTGCCTTTGCTTCCACGGGTCGAAGTGGAACTGTGGTGTGGATTAAGAATACAAAGTGACTTACGAGTTGGGACTCGCTTTCTTTAATACCTTATTTTAAGTTTACAGCTTTATACAAAAATTTTGAAAATGTAACTGATATTTCAATTTTTATTAAAACATATTGTATTTTTATTTATTTATTATTTTTTTACCAAATATTATTAATTTATTACTTTTCTGTGGAAGGTGTGGGGGACCCACCTAGGTTTTGCCGTCTGGCGTTGACGCAATCATGTTAGTTGCGTGCACCGGATAAGAACGTTGAATTTTTTCTTTTATGAATTTTGTTTTCTCTGTATTATCTTCACATTGTCCTCTCTGTTACCTGGCTGGACCTTTGATTTCGTTTTCATAAGTTGAGAAGTGAAGTATAATGAAAACATTAATTTTATAGTTGCTAATTTAAAATTAATATAATAATAAAAATTCATATATAATAAGTTTTGAAATTAAAAAATATATTTTAAGTAATAGTTCTACTCTCATATATTTACTGTTTTAAATGGATGAAGAAAAGTAAAATAAAATTAAGAAGAGACTCAAACCAGAAGTGAGCAAGCAAACCTATACCTTCAAACTCGAAGGTAACGTCTTAATTCATATATTTTCTGTCTGCATATAGCTATAATAAATTATAATATAAATTTAGTTTTGTCAATAATATTATACGAGTAATGTTTTATACATTTTATTAGGAGTCTACATTTCGACTTGAGTTTTTTTAAAATTATTTTTTTACTCGAATTCATCTTAATTAAATAAAATTAAGATAGGATTATATCAATTTAATGTAGAAATAAAATATATCACTTTTCACATTTTATATAATTAAATCGTAAAATATATGAAATATATATATATATATATATAATTAAAATAAAAGAATATTTTTATAGTATATATATATAAAATAATATTATTTTATCAATAAAAATTATATATTTTTCCTAATAAATAGTATTTTTTTATTGACATACAGTGGTGTTGGTTTTGATAATTTTTTTAAGCTAAATGATACTCATTTCAAATTTTATTTTAAATTTAAAATATACACTGACCTAACTTAAAGTAAAAAATTTATTTACCTTTAAGCTAAGCAACTAATAATATTAAAATATATTTATTATATTTTTATAAATTTAATATAATAAATGTGTATTGTTTATAATTTTTTATAAGATTAATAAAATAAAACAAAAAAAAATAGAAGACTCCTATAGTTAAGAAACTAATAAATAATGTTTAAAATTATGTTAAATATATAAAAATAAGTACATATTTATATATTTTAACAAAATATTTTTATTACTTAATAGTATTGTTTTTGAAACAATTATTGACTCTACTACAAATCATATTTATAACTGTCTGAAACAAATGGCTTAAATTCATTAGTCTTGTAACGCCCTTAATTTTATATTATTTGATTATTAATATATATGTGCGAATTGATGCTTGAATGTGCATTTGATTGCGTGATGAGTTGGACGTGAATATGATAATGATGAGTATTGAATGGTAATATGAATATGTGTGTAAATACGTATAGATATGTATATATTTGTATAATATGATTGAAAGATGAACGTGGACTTGTGGTTGAATTGAAAATATAAGCTAAGTGTGTGTTGCAGGGGTGTTATTGCTGTAGCGAGAAGGCCCTAGGCATAGAGCATGAGTATGTGGCACTCTCGGTGTAGCAAGAGGGTCTTGGGAGAAAGGGGTGATTCTGTTGCATTTTTGTTGTAGTAAGAGATTCCTCGTTGTAGCGAGAAGGCAACAGAGAAGAGTGCATTTCTGAGTGTAGTCTTGTTATAGTGAAAGTGACTCGCTGTAGCGAGATTCAATATAAACCAAAATACAGGTTTTCTGAGATTTTCGCTGTAGCGAGGGGGTGTCACTATAGCGAGGGAATCTCGCTGCAGCGAGAGTGTCACGACCAGAAGAGTATTTGAGAGGTTTAAGAAGCTCATTTCTCATCCTTCTCTTCAAACTCTCTTTGATTCTCTCAACTCAAAACCCTATTTTACTGATTAAATTGCCTCCAAAGTTGTTTGGGAGCTAGATTGAAGATTGAAATCATGTTTGGAACGCTTGGAGGTAAGTTCTATGAATTAGGGTTTCAAGTTTTCATCCCTTTTTCTTATTTATGGGTTTCTCATAGGGTTTTTCCTATATTTAGGATGAAATACATGTAGGAAACGCTTTCATTGTTGATTTACGTTGTGGGTCTTCATTTTGAGGTAAGGGGGACTCTACCATATCTCATTGTGTTTGAATCAATTATTTTGCTATGTGTTGTAATATGAATGGTTGGAAATATGTGTGTCTTAATGGAATTGATTTGATTGTAGTGAGATTGTGTAGAATGTTGTGTTTTGGGTGTTGACTATTGTATGTGATGAAATGAATGGATTGGTATAATATTGTGATAAAAAATATTATGTGTTTGAGTATAATGTGATTGAATGTGTGCATATGTGCCATTTGATGAAAACGAATGCCATGATATGATTGGGAGTATGAATAAATGTGTGTGGAAATGGCATGAAAATGTGAGTGTGATTGTGATTGTGAATTGGTTGGAAATTGTGAATGATTTAGCGATATATTGGGGCATGGAAGATAGAGCCGGTAGAAATATCTTAGAGAAGAGAGGGTGATGGTGACATTTACAGTGAGCGTGGGTGCACCACAGGCCACACACTTTCCTCCTGACTTGACTTTTAACTAACACCTTTACTTAGGGGTTCAGTACTGCACACGTTGTATCCGTGGGGCGGGAGCTATCCGGCAACCATCCATGGTGTAAAATTGAGTAAGTCCTTGAGATTGAGGACATAAGAAATCTGTGATCATAGTGTCACAGTAAGCGTGACTAACGTATAGTGAGCACACTTGTGTATGAATGAGAATGAAATACTGAAATTATTACTTTGTGTATATTGATAAATGATTTGAATGATGTTGGAAATGTGTGGAAACATGCACAGTGAGTCTCTATGCTTGTATATATTTGGTAGTGTAGAGTACTCACCCTTACATTTATTTTTCAGGTGACTAAGATGATCAGCACTGGACTCAATGAAGGGATGAATGATACTTGTTCAATCATGTTGGTGGCCACGAGGAAATCTTGATACAAAACTCCCAAAACTACAAAACTTCAACTATATTGACCGATGACAACAAAATCCTGAAGTAAAGGTAAATACCTCACTAAAATCTTGTTATCAGAGTTGTCATTAAACATAAACTGTCCAATCAACCACAACATGTAAGTTTTAGCAAAATGAGTGATCATGCATCACAATGTGAGTAAAATATTGGTCTAGCCAACTTATCGTTAGAAAGATACCTACAAAAGCATCACACTCAAGTGGAATCCTAAGGCTATCTTTAATCATCTACACATAGTCACCACCAATAAGTGTTATTGTTGGTACCATTAATCTTCAAACTCCAAAAGAATGGAAATATCTTGTGGAGTGATTGTACATATAATAGTGAGAATTGAGATAACTGTGAAATTCTAACAAATCTAGGAAGCTCTAAATGAGGAAGGGTTTTAACTTGAACACCTTCCAAACTAGCTAAATTAAATTGGCTCTTTCTAATCTTCAAAACGACGTGATTTTAACAATTTCAAACGTGCTCAGATATATAAATACTCTGAAAGTGAAGCAATGAAGAATCATCTATTTCACGATTAATGACCCTTCTTTGCCTAGAAGATGAGACCATTTGCAATAAAAATAAAAATAAAAATTTACTACAATTAATTAATAAATTACAATAATAGTAATATTTAATATCTTGTAAAAAAATTATATACTACTAGAATTTTGCATATTTCCTACAATTTTTTTTTTGAATTCTTTTTTGCAGAAATTTCTAACCACTTTTATTGCAGATCTGGAAAATTTTAAACAACTTCCTATGAATTTAAATTTATAGAAAAGTCTGCAAGAAGTTTTAAAGTTTCTTGCAATTTTTTTATGAAAATAAATTGGCAAAAGAATTATTTCTTCAAATTTTTTTTGCCAAACAATTTGCAACAATAAATCATAGAAAAATTTATAGCAAAATTTTAACTTTCTTACATATTTTCCGAGAGATAAAATTGGCAGGAAAAGTTTACTATTTTCTATGGATTTTCTTATGAAAAAAAATTGACAAGTAAGAGTCATAGAAAATTTTGCAGGAAATTCAAATTTTTAAATGATTTTTTCAAGCAATTTTTTGCAAGAAAATTTGAAGAAAAATATTTAAATAAAATAAAAAAATAATTTATGATATATTAGCTGTACTTAATTGTTTTATAAAATTATTATTCATTAAATTTTTTATTTTGTAAACTGTGTATACTGATATAATTTAAATGATTATTTTGTTAAGTTAAAATATTGTATCTTATATAATTTAATTATACTATTTATTTTATTAAATATATAGATTAATTTAAATTAGATACACCAAAATAAATTAACATATATATATATATATATATATATATATATATATAATATTTTAAATTATATTGTATACTATACTCACCATATATATTTCGAATGAGTGGCTAAAGGAGATGAGCACATTACCGTTCTCTGTTTTCTAGTTTCACCAGTGTGCCGCCAACCTAGGCCAACCTAGACCATCCACGCCACAAAACAACATAAATTGGAAAGGTTCTTCCTAATTATTACTATTAACCTTTTGATTCGCTTGTTCACTGCAGAAATGGATTCTGGCGACTAAAAATACACAACAACAAAATATTTGGCACTATTTTCTTTCAAATTTTGACATTGTCTTATAGCTTAAACAAGTTCGAAGGAGTGCATTATTATTGACACACCGACCTTTTAATTTATTGTTCACTTGATGCAATTTTCATACTGTGTTTTTCATATTGTTCACTTGATGAAATGCAACTTTTGTTTTTAACAGTATTACAACCACACTCATTCTCT